CGGGTTCAAGGCCTCCACCCTGCCACTAGCGGGATTTGTTTCTCGGTAGTCCCGAGTTCAAATCCTTGGTCGCTTTGTAAATAGCCAACTGGTCTGCCTCCTGCCGGTTGGGATTTTTAACTATGTTTCGTTTATTTAAAATATTTGTTTCCTTTGTTTCAGAAGCATGCCTGTAAACTAGCTACCGGTTAGTGCTTGTATAGCTAAGTGCATGATCACTATAAATAGGATTTACTCTTCTTTTTACATTTTACAAAACTAAGTTAAATGGAATGTCTGATTGTTTTTCTATAAGTCACATTTGCCTCCACGATATTTTTGGGTGTTGCTGGTCCCTTGCTGGTCCCTTGCTTATTATTATATTTTATATATATATTTATTTTAGTATTATTATTATTATTTTGAAAGTTTTAACTCTAAAGTATCAAAAACTCCATGTTTGCATCATCTGAACGTGTTATGAGAAACTACACTCATGGGTGGCTTCAAACCGCCAAAAAAAACAAACATTATGTTCACGCATAATGTTATCTATGTCGAGTCATGACGGTCACGCAATGGTCCGTAGGTCTGGTTTGTGTCAAGTATCACCCCAGGGGAGAGAGGGCGCGTTCCCTCAAGGATAAAAGATATTTCTCTCGAGCAATTCGGCCTTCTTCCCTTGGCCCTCGTACCCTCAGTATCTCGCAAGGAAAATTTTTTTCTACACCACCTCCAAGAATTTTCAGGCACGTACCTCTTCTCATTTTCGACTCTTCAGTCCCCTCTTTAGATCTTAGTTTACAACATTGTGTTCCAAGCGGTCAAATGACGGTAATACGTGTTTTGATACTTGGTCATTCCTTTATTCGCCGTTTACGCGAATATGTAGGGCGGAGTACCGATCTAGATGCTAATTTGCATATTCGGGAATGCATAGAGTTAAAATGGCACGGGGTCGGGGAAAGAACAGTACTCACGACCGTCCAATTTGATCTTTCTGTGGTTAAATCGTTCAAGCCCGACATAGTTATATTACAGGTAAGCACTAACGACTTGAGCCATCTTTCCCCAGTGAACGTTGGCTCAGCAATTGAAGACCTTACCCGGTCTCTCCATGACTCGCTAAACGTGAAATGTGTGTGTTTGTCAAGTTATTTATCGAACAGGGGCTCCTACGTTCAACAAGAACGTGATCCTCTTAAATCGGTATTTTAAGGTAGTGCTAGAGCCCATCCCTTATGCAATTTTCTGGAGCCATAAAGGGTTGTGGAGGGCAAAAACTAATTTTATGGCCCGTGACGGGGTACATTTAAATGGTCCTGGTCAGCACAAGCTCTATCGTAGTTTGAGGGGGGCAGTTCTACATTGCCTAAAATCGCTATAGCCGCAAATCGGGTATATGAAACAAATTTGAAACATCCTCTTATTTATCTATAGTGCCCGCCTTGCCCAGGCATTTTATGATTTTCATTTTATTGTCTTAAGATTTGCCAGTTCCCTTTATGTTTTAAGCCAAGCCGACTTGTCAGTTGATGTTTGTTTTCACAGCCCCTGTTTGTTTGCCGTTGGGTTTTACTCCCACGAGCAATGGCTGTGCTTGTTCGGTTCATTGGAACCATGGTTCGCACGTCCAACGTGCATTTATGGCTTTGGCGATGATTTATTTTCTACTTACCCCTGCCGTATGAGTGAACAATCTTTTGACCGCCTCTTTACGAGTGGTCCAATGCTCTCGGCACTAGCGGTAATGCATTGTTTTGGGAACTTGGCCTCTGTTATCTTTTTAATCCGGTTACGTATCGTTGCTTATGAACCAGAGAACCTGTGGAGCTGCCCACCTCAACTGCGACCAAAAAATTTAGGATGGAATTTTATCTTGTCATTTTGAGTCGTATTCCTTCTTATCAATTTTGTCTCGAAATCGCATTGCATTCCATCGTATTTAATTACCTAATTTTATCTATTATCAATAATTCATGCCTCCTCAACTGCGACTAAAAAATTTAGTTTGGAATTTTATCTTGTCATTTTGAGTTGTATTTCTTCTTATCAATTTTGTTTCGAAATCACATTGCATTCCATCGTATTTAATTACCTAATTTTATCTATTATCGATAAGTCATGCCTCCTAGAAAGCGTGCGGAACAGCCATCAAGGATAGGCCGCCAAACACGTTGTAAGCGAGTGCGAACATCAGAGCTGACAGCAGCGGACCCACCTGTACCTCAACCAGCTATTACCAATCCCGGTTTGGTCTCCTTGGACGTAAACGCTCTCTCCGCAACCATATCGACAGCCATCTCAGAAGCGGTGAAAACAGCATTGTCTAAGGACCGTCTAACTGAGATCCTGGGACAAAACGCCGTTGAAGACGGCACGTCGATTGAAGCCACATTAGCAGGGCGGTCTCAAGCCGACCTGTCATCGGACAGCGTGACCACAGCTGTGAGCAACCATGTCAGTAACCTCACCGGTGCAGGTACAAGAGATAATTCTCTGCTTTTGGGTCCCGACAATGTTCAACCTAAACAAATTTTTACTAGCGTCTCTGTAAATCTTAGTTCCCGGGTGGGTTCGAAAATTAAAGCTAAAATCTGGGCTAACGAATATGTGGAATTTGGGGCCTTATTAGCATCCACCCCTCAAATCGGTAAGTATGCGCTATCTATGACACCCTCCACTGGGTCAT